AGAAGAGATAACTATAGATAATATAGAAAAACAAATTCAGAATTGGAATATTCCTAAAGTTCCAGCATCAGATGTTTACAGAAAAGGCACTTTTGAATTTAAAACAAGTTTTTCCATTAAAACTGTAGAGCAAAGTATTTATATTACCAATGAGCAGAATAGTTTTCAACTTCTTTCCAATCGGATGATACAAGACCACAAAAATAAGAGTTATAAATATTTGCATATAGGACTTGTCCAAATTGCTATAAAACCACTTACTCGAATTGGTTTTAATAACTCGGTCCTTTTATGTCTAAGGGACGAGCGACATAATAAATTTTCTGATTCTCTACTAGGAATAGTAGAATCAAGCCTTTGCAACGGTCCTATATACTTCAATTGTTTCCCCAATTTTTCTGTGGCTTTAACAGATCCTAACCTCTTGAAAGTTCTTACCCTAAATATAAAAACCCAAGGGTTCGATATGGATTCAGGATCCCTAAATATTGCTCTAGTTTATACGATATGCTATAAAGTGATGAACACTTTATGCCCAAATGCACTTCAGATGGATACTAAAGCGCAAATGGTGTTTTTCCAAACTAATATGGAAAAATCTAATACTGTTATACCAAGATCTATGGCTTGGTCTCAGATTAGACTTCTTGAAAAATGATCTCTACACTGTGAAAACCAATAGTCTAGAACCCTAGTGAATAGAGAACTGGAACAAATAATAGAATACCCAGATGGGGATATAGAAATACAATTTAATTCAAACAGACGGACTCGAATAAATATTTTCGAAGGCCCTTATAGAATTCCTTCAAGATGCTCTTCTGTTCCGCAGACAGAACATGAGCAAAATTATAGGAGACCAACAGTCGAATGACTGACTAAAACGAATAATCAAATTCAACAACCAGTATATAGAATATATGAACCTAGTTCCCCAGATAAGGAACCAACACCTCCCGACTTAGATTTCAATATCCTTACTCTCCAAGAGGAAAAAATATTTAAAATAGATAAAAAATAGATAAAACAAGACTTCCTGTCTGATGAAAACAAGAACATCCGGGATTGATACTTAGCTGAATTTCCCCAAAACCTATTAGATACTTTGCATATGAAATTCAATAAATTCATAGTAAAACAAAGGAGGAATATAAAGTTTTTTTAATGGTTAAGATGTATCTTAAACGAAAAAGATATTGAAATCCCAGAATTTAGTCTTAAAATGGTTGAAAATCAGTATCAAACTTTTCATACTATGCAAGGGGAAGAACTACAATCTATTCATTCCCCTGAAAAAAGGCTTCAGATGAGAGGGATATGTGAAGATAAACCCAAAGCTCAGGCTTCGCCTTATAAAATTGCTCCAAAAGAACCTGATCACCATACACATAAAATAGATGCCATTCCACATCTAATTGACCAAAACAATTATACCAATCTCCGCTTACAAACCATTGGAAGGCAGACAACTAGGATTGAAAATATAATAAGTAAACCACGGGAAAACCCAGTGGATCGAAATTTGAAGGGAAACAAGCTTTACTGTTTGAACCCCTCCAACCAATTAATAAAAGCCCATTCAGCCTTCAAGTTATAAAAAAGAAGGATAATAATAAAGAATTAGTAAATGAGCTAATTAAAAAATTAGCAAAGCTAAATATAAAAGAACAGGGAGCTAGTTCTGACCAAGGAGCTATGGTCCTTCAAACAGAACCCTTTCTTAATAATGAACTTGATAAAATAAAACAAGCCTTTAAAACAGAAAGTCTTGAAATAAACCGAATAGACTATGGGAAAGAGTTTAGGCCTACTTCTCAGATAAGAATGTATTATCCTAGGCTTACCCCGGTAGATCTTCAGTTTGAAAAAGATTTAATTACAAGTTCTATATCTTACTCTGGAAGATCTATTGTAAATTGAAATATTTATGGCATGTCTGAAAACCAGATTCTTGATCTTATGAAACATATGACCATGTATGTTACTGCTTGTAAGATAAGTGGAAACCAAGACCAAGAAATAGCCAAAGCCATTATTTGTGGATTTACAGGATGACTAAGAGGTTGGTGGGATTTCCACATGGATGAAAATACAAAAAATGAAATATTAACTGCCGCAAAATAATGGGAGGTTAAAAATGAATTTGGTCAAGATATAATAAATAATGAAAGTAATGTAGTCAATACTTTAATATATACTATTACTCTCCACTTTGTAGGAAGTATTGCTTTATTAGATACTAGATCAGAAGACTTGCTTTCTAATTTAAGGTGCCCAACATTATCCCATTATAAGTAGTACAAAGATGTATTATTCTCCAGACTCCTTTTTAGATAAGACAGTAAGTCCGATCACTGGAAAGAAAAATTCATTTCTGGCTTACCTCATCTTTTTGCTGAAAAGGTTAAAATACAGCTAAAACATAAACATGGAGGAATAATCCCATACTCTTTATATACACTAGGAGAATTGTCAGCCAAAATTTGTGCAGAAGGCCTTGCTTTCTGTACAGATCTGAAATTAAAAAGGCAGCTTGATAAACAGAAAATGATTGGGAGAAAAGAACTAGGGGATTTTTGCAAACAATTTGGATTTAAATACCCTACATTCTTCTAGGGATTCAGATAAGAGAAAATACAAAAATAAAAAATATACCAATAAGACCAGATTCAAGAGAACTTCTATCAAAGATAAATTCTCTAAAAAATTTGCCCCAAAAAATATTGCTTTTAAAGGAAATAGGAGAATTCATGTTTGCTATAATTGTGCCAAAATAGGACATTATAAAAATAAGTGTAGAGTTAAGAAAAAAATAGATGCTCTACAATTAGATGATGATATTAAGGAACAACTTTTCAATATATTACAAATTAATAAAGAAACTTCTGAAACTTCTTCTGATTCTGAGATTGAAATACTTACAGGAGAAATTAGGGATGAAGATTTAACTTTAAGCAGTTCAGACTCTGACAGTGATGATATTGATACCGAATGTTTTTGTAATACCCTTACTAAAGAAGAAAACCTAATTATAGATATAATCGATAAAATAATTGATCCAGAAACTAAGCGAGAAGCTCTGGTCCAGTATATAAATATAGTTAAAATGAATAAAAACCCTCTCCTCCTCTTGTACGTACTCAATAAGATTATAGTTTTGCAAATACTCTTAGAAGAGTTGAAAATAAAAATAATAACTATAAAGAACCTTCCCTCTCGGACCTAAGACAAGAAATAAATGAGGTTTGTAATGAACTAATAAATCTGAAAAATAGAGTCCAGATTATAGAGTTAGCCTCTAACCCTATTGAAAAAAGTCCTGTCAATACTGATGACGAAATAGAATTCAACAATATTATAAATAATTACAAGAATCCTCTGCCCCTTAAGGTAGAAGAATCTATTCCTAAAAAGGTTGATGAACTAGAATCTTCCGATATGAATACAATACAAGATTTTAATTATGTTAGTCTTCTTGATAAGGTAATCACTCAAAAGTGGTTTACCACAATAAAAATAGCTGTTTAGAAAGAATATAGTTTTCGAACTATTGCTCTAATAGATTCGAGAGCGGATTTAAATTATATAAACGAAGGACTCGTTCCTACTAAGTATTTTAGCAAAACAATACAAGTCCTAAATACGGCGGATGCAGTAAAATGATTATAAATTATAAATTATCATATGCTGCAGTTTGCAATAGTGGTAACTGCTTTGAGTTCCCCTTTATTATGGTTGAAGGATTAAGCTAATGGGTAATACTAGGAACTCCATTCTTAAATATGCTTTTTCCAATAAGAATTAGTACCGGAATCGAAGCCAATATAGAAGGACAGTGTAAAGTTTGACTTTATCGAAAAACCCAGATCTAGAGAAATAAATAATATAAAAGAAAAAATCTAGAATAGGGAAAAGTTCCTATAATACCTAAAAGAAGAAGTAAAATATAAAACAATAGAAACCAAATTCCTACTTTCTGAGAATAAAAAGATAGTAAGGGAAGTGTGCTACATGTGTGATTGTTACTGGGACTTGTTACCCAGTTACTGTTCGGACGAGTGGAAACTCTTTTCCAGTTTCTGCAAGTGTCATATGCAAGTAATTTGTTTTTCTTTTCTCATGCAGTTTAAAATAGTTATTTATATAAAATTGTTATTTATGTGAATTGGATTATCATTAATATATCGACTCTTTTGTGTGTTTTCTGCTTAATAGTATTTATTATTAATTATATATTATATTTATATATGGGTGAGGTTTGCATAGAGCCAAGGCTCTAAACAATCAAAGTGGAGCCCACCTTTAAAATGTGTCCAGAATTGTGGTTTTAACATTGAAAATATTTGTGATAGCCTTAAACTATATTTTCATCTCTAATTATAAAATTTAAATATTCAAAAAATAGTGTAGATTAAGCAAATCTATGAAAATTTAAAAATCTTGAAAATTGACGGTCAAAAAATGCATTATAAGATGCACTATTTCCAAAACTTGAAATCTACTTTTTTTTTTCTCTTTTCCATACATCTTGATGTCGAGATGATTGATTTGAGGATATTTGGGCATCAAAACAACCTCTTACGGTGAAAATTTTGAGGTAGCCTCTAATTTGATTGTTTAGAGCTTCGGCTTTATATAAACTTTTCCTTTTACTTTGATGGTTTAAAGCATTGGTTCTATACAAACGGCACCCAAATCTATAATCAAGATCGGTGTCTAATTGGTTTTGGTTACCGAGGCCATCTCGTTTTGATTAGTTTGGCCAATTAAATGAAAGAAATAAATTATTTTTATTACATTTAATGAATTTTAATATTATTTATATTTATTTTAAATTTTAATATTAATTATATTTATTTTAAATTTTTTAAAACTGATCCGATCAATTTGATGAGTCTGAAAATTTTTGATTTAGACCCTTCACCGATTAAGCGGCAGTTCCAATCCTCGTACGAGGGAAATAATCAATTTGAAGGTCTTTTCACGTCCAGCGGCGATTTTTTCAGATTTTGGCGGTGCTGCCCTACATTTGTTTGCAAGGCGGCGGCCATATAAAAAATCCTTTTTCCTTCAATTTGCCGAGAGACTTTCGCCTCTCTCTCTCTCTCTCTCTCTCTAAATTCGTGGTTAGAGAGAGACCATTTCCCGTCGTAGCCTGCGCCACACCATGATCAGCATTCTCTCTCAGGTATTTGCCATTCCACCACAATTCTATCTCTAAACGTTCTCTCTACCAAACTTGTTGCATTCCGCTTTCCAGGAGCTCAGCAATCCTTCCATCCAGTTTTCTCTCTCTAAACACGCACACACGCACTCTCTCTCTGCCAATCTTTTTCTATCATGTTTTTTCAGGAGCGTCTCCTCGGAGCCACGCTTGGAGCTTTTCTTGCTACTGCCATTGTTTACAAGGAGCGGAGAAATGTTTACGCCTCCATTTCAGATTCTCACTCTAAAATCATTACTAAGGTACATTCATGAAACCCTAAACCTGACGGCCTATTTCACTATTCTGTTTTTTTAGCTAAATCAGAATAACTCTGAAAATGTTTAAAAACTTTTTTTTTTTTTTTCTGGCCACCCAATGCGGTTCTATTTTTATGGTAGGAATTTCTTTCTTCCATTTTCTTATTTCTTTGATGGTTCTTGTGGATTTTATGATCGGTTATGGTTGGGGTGCATGTGAATTTCATCTGACTTTTTTTGAGTACATTTCGTCCTTTTTGTTGTTTATGATTAGTTTATACTTAATTGTGGATTTGTTGAGGCTTTTGCAAAAATTCACCCATCATTGCGAGTATGAGGGGATAAATGATATAATAATTCTGGAAAATATGATGTTTGTAAGATGAGGTAAATAATATATTTTCATCGGGATCCTGTTGAAGTTGCAATAAAAGAAATAGAGAAGAGAAGAGAAATACATCAACGTAGTATATACGTGATTCGGCAATCGTGCCTACATCCACAGAGGATAAACAAGTATTTCATTCATTGGGATTACTCTTGTTACTAGAGATTTTTAGAGTTATAATTCTTGTATTTTAAGAAACAAATCTTATTACAAATGTAATCCCATAAAATCGGAAACTTAATATACGAACTCAATATCTTGTAATCCACAAGATAGGAAACTTTATATCTTGTTGCTATAACCATCAACACTCCCCCTCAACTTGGTGCATAGATATGCATCAACACTCCCCCTCAACTTGGTGCATAGATATCCATGGAGACCAATTTGGACGGTATCTGATGGAACATTGTCTTTGCAATAACTTTGATAAATAGGTCTGCAAGTTGGTCTTCACTTCGAACATAAGGAGTCGTAATAAATTTTGGCTTAACCTTTTATCTCATAAAGTAACAATCAACTTTAATATGCTTGGTTCTTTTATAAAAAACTGGATTAGAGGCTATATGCATAGTTGCTTGATTATTACAAAACATTTCCATTGGATTGATTGTTGGGAACCCCATATCTCGAAGTAGTGATTTTACCCATATTAATTCACTTGTAGTTGGGAAAGGGGCTAGGGTTGTGGTGGTAACACCCCACATCCTAGTTACCACGTTGTGGTTTTCATTTCCATCGCGAACAACACCCATTAATACCTTCAAAAAGCTAACTCCTAATCTACCTGAAAAAACGGGTAGGAGTCTGTATTCTTCATTGAATTACCCAAAAAAACACTGAATTACCAAAAAAAAAATTCACTTGTAGTTGAAGCCATAGCTCTATATTCGGTCTTTGCATTAGATCGAGCAACTACATTTTGTTGTTTGCTTTTTCAAGTAACTAAGTTTCCCCCGACCAATGTATAATAAGCACTAGTGGACCTCAACTCAATTGGGCTACCTGCTCAGTCCGCATCAGAATAACCAATAATATTAGTGTGACCATTCTGTTTCATCGAAATACCTCTGCCGGGTGACGACTTGAGATATCTGAGAATCCTATTGACAACCTCTATATGACATAATCTATGAGCAATCATAAATTAGCTCACGAGGCTAACCACAGTTATATCTGATCATGTCATAGTTAAATAAATCAATTTACCCACAAGTCTCTGAAAACAACCTACATCTCTAAGAGGCTTTTCATTTGTTGAATAAAGCTTACAATTAATATCAAGATGGGTGTTAATAGGTTTGACTCTTAGTTTCCTAGTTTCTTTCAATACATCTAAGACATATTTCGTTTGAAAAATGAAGAGTCCCTTTTTGGAATGTGTTACTTGAATGCCGAAAAAATACTTTAGTTGACCAATGTCCTTGTTATCAAATTTCTTGTGAAGATAATTTTTAAGCTTTATGATCCTTTCTTTATCATTACCTATAATGATAATATTATCAACGTAAAGTACAATTGTTGTACTTGAAGTTTTCCTTTTTTTGAAGATCGAAGAATCAACTGAACTTTTAAGAAACCCGACACTCATAAAAGCTGAGCTGAGTTTGGCATACCATGTGCTAGGAGATTGTTTAAGTCCATACAAGGCCTTCTTTAATTTGCATACAAGACTTTTCTCCTTTTCTCCCTTCCTTTACAAGTTCCTTTTTGGAATGTGCTACTTCATTTGACAAGATCTAGGAGCAGTCATAAATTGGGTCACAAAGCTAACTGCATATCTTATATCTTGTCAATGTCACAATCAAATAAATCAATCTAGCTACAAGTCTCTAAAAACGACCTACATCTTTAAGAGGTTTTCCATTTCTTGAATAAAGCTTGCAATTAATATCAACATGGGTGCTGATGGGTTTGACTCCCAGTTTTCCTGTTTCTTTCAGTACATCTAAGACATATTTCCTTTGAGAAATGAAGAATCCCTTTTTGGAATGTGCTACTTCAATGCTGAGAAACTACTTTATTTGATCAAGGTCGTTGTTGTTAAATTTATTGTGAAAATAATTTTTAAGCTTCATGATTCTTTCTTTATCATTACATGTAATGATAATATCAACGTAAATGGGTAGAGCTGTTGTACCTGAAGTTTCCCTTTTTTTGAATATCGAAGAATTGGTTGAACTTATAAGAAACCCGACACTCATTAAAGCTGAGCTGAGTTTGGCATACCGATTGTTTAAGTCCATACAAGGCCTTCTTTAGTTTGCATACAAGACCTTTCTCCTTTTCTTTAGAAAGGCCTAGAGGAAGACTCATATAGACTTCTTCTTCAAGGTCACCATATAAGAAGGCATTTTTAACATTCGTTTGATGCAGAGACCACCCACAATTAACTGCTATAGACAAAAGAACACGAACAATATTCAGCTTGGCAACTGGTGCAAAAGTATCTTTATAGTCGACTCCATAATTTTGAGTAAATCCTTTGGCCACCAACTTGGCCTTATGTCTCTCAACAGACCCATTACTATTCTATTTGATTTTAAAAACCCATCTACATCAAACTGCTTTTTTTCCTTTAGGTAACTTGATAATGTCTCAAGTATGGTTCTTGTCAAGTGCCTAAAGTTTCTCTTTCATGGCCTTCCTCCAAGCAGGATGAGAAATAACATTTTGAAATTGGTTGACTCAGAATTATTAGAAATAGAACTCAAAAAAGCAAAATAGTCAGGAGAGATATTTTTATAGGAAATATTATTTTGAACAAGATAAGAAACTGCATGATAAGTATAAAAATCTTGAAGTTTAGAGGAAGGTTGAGAGATACGAGAAGACTTGCACAAAGGGGAATCAGGTGGGGCCACAACTGAGTCTTTTTCTTCTTTTAAACCAGTTTGGTGAGTTTCAAAGGTATCTTTAGCTTTGGCTTGATCATCATGCACATACACTGGTATTAATATTAGGCAAGGGCAAACAACCTCTTGAACACTCCCCCTGAGTCTTATTTTCCAAACCACTGTCCAATGTGTCATGGGAATAAGACTCTGTTTCAACAAGTTGAACATCTTTGGAAATATACATTTTTCTGGTTGTGGGATCATAACATTTGTATCCCTTTTGAGTAGAGGAGTATCCAAAAAAGATACGTCTATTGGAATGTTTATCAAGTTTATCTCTGTTGTGCCTAGCCGCATGAACATAAGACACACATCCCAATACATGCAAATAGGACAAATCGATTTTTCTATTTTTCAAAACTTCAAGGGGAGATTTATCCTTAAGAATTTTACTAAAAAATCTGTTAATCAGATCACAAACAGTTAAAACAGTTTCAAACTAATAAATTTTTAGAACATGCATCTGAAACATCAAAGACCATGTAGCTTTCCAAAAGGCATTTATTTTTCCTTTCAGCAACTTTGTTCTGCTGAGTTGTTCCAACACATGATGTTTGGTGTATAATTACAAGATTACACAAATGCTCAGAAAAAACTTTGTTCACATACTTTGTGCCACTATCAGTTTGCATAATTCTAATCTTGCCATTATATTGAGCATAAATCAGGTTGGAAAATTTTTTAGACAGGAGAAACTTTTGTTTTTGATTTCAATATATATACCAAAGTAGCACGAGATAGATCATCAATACAATTAACAAAATATTTAAAGTCAACATAGGAATCAATTGGGGTTGGTCCCCAAACATCAGAATGTATCAAACGAAAAGGTTCCTTTGAAACATGCATAAAAGACTGAAAAAGAAGTCTTGTCTGTTTTGAGAATTTATAAACTTCACAAAAATGAGGGTTGAAAAATGAAGTGGGTATTAAAAATTTCAAAACTTTATCTGAAGGGTATCCAAATCTCCAATCCCATTTATTAATATCGAAATTAGCTTGATTGACAACCAAAACCTTATTCTCCTGATTAAATAAATATAACCCATGAGACAGTCTTCATTCACCAATCTTCCTCCACGTGGCCCGATCTTGGAAAGTTACAGAGTCAGGAGAAAATAACATTGCAATTCATGCTCTGAGCAATTCTACTAACAAACATCAAGTTACAAGGATGGCATAAACATGACTTCAGAGTTGTGAGACTTAGAGAAGAACTTGGTATTACCAACATCATGGTCAGCAAGCAAGGAACCATGAGCAATAGATAGGATTCATATTTGCATTATTTTTTAGGTTGGATAGATATTGTTAGTTACCAGTCATATGATTTGCGACCCCTGAGTCTATTATCCAAGGAAAAGTGTCACACGAAGACGAGAAAGCATAAGGGTTACCTGCATCCAAGAATGAAGAAGAAGGATCTTGTGTGGAAGAAAAGCCATTGTTGTTACTTCGTTGCTGATAATGATCACAGATGTGATGATGGGTTTGAGTGGTTGCGGTCTGAGTGGTAGATCTGTTGGCTGTCCTGTTATTAATGGGCCTTAAATCTGGGTATAATGCTCAACACCTATCCTTTGCATGTCCCATATTGTTTTAGTGATCACATCTAGGACACCTTCTGTTACTATTATCCTTTCCACCATCGCGATAATTGTTAGGCCTCTACCTCCACCCCTATTTTGAGGCGTTTTTGTTTCATATTTCTCATTATT